CTGCAAAGAATAATAATAATAATAATAATAATAATAATAATATGTTCTCATGGCTTAACTGATTAGTTGCGTTAAAATATATATTTTTTGTCTTACAGAATTAAAATGAATTACAGTAAATATCCCGCTGAGTACCACAGTATTTCTTTTTAATCATTTCACTCAAGAAAGACAGTAAAATACCACCAGGATACAAAGGGTTACTGAGAGTAAAAGAAACAGAGTGGACAATGAACATGATTAAAGCATACAGAAGATTACAACTGACATTGCAGTTTTGAAGATCATATTTGACAGGAAAGCAAAAAGCCGGTAGAGAGATACACAAGTACGAGAAAAGAGACTATTAGCATAGAACTTACGCTTAAAATTAGCAATTTCAATAGGGAAATAATCTAGTACTGCTCTTACGTTCATGATGTCTAAGTAGCAACGAAGAAAACCCGTCAGAACAGAGTAAAAACAGTCATAGAAGAGACAAAAAAAAAAGCTACGTTACGGCGGTGGAAATTTGACTGAAGCTGAGACAGTTTATCACGTCCCTAGCGGCTGATGCACTGTGCATTTCTGCTCATGATCGAGAATAATGGGGAAGCATCATGGCCGGATATCAACAAGGTTTGTCAACCAAGTCGACCTGGAACCTGGGAAGTTTATGCGCTGTTTTTATTCAAATTTGTCACCATATCACGCACATTTAGCATGTGCAGGTTTACCCTTACTGGATGTCATGATAGGTATTATATAGGCTTCGTATATTTGCGTCACTATATTTATACGCTACTTTCTCACATAATAATAATAATAATAATAATAATAATAATAATAATAATGAGAAGAAGAAGAAGAAGAAGAAGAAGAAGAAGAAGAATTGTAATAGTAATAATAATAATAATAATAATAATAATAATAATTCCAGTTGTAATTGGTGCACTAGGATTGATTGAAAAAGATTCCATTGGAGGAATCGCTGGTAGCCCATGCCTTAAAATACAAAAAATTATAGTCACAAGTACAGCTTACACATTAAAAATTACTTTATCTATGTAAAATATATGCGATTTTTTTAAACTGCTCATTGGAAAATGTCATGATGCCATTTTCTGACCTGGTCGGGACCAGAAACAAAAGTAAATAAAACAATAATAATAATATACAACTGTTACAGGAAGGAACTTGCATGAACATCACCCAGACCCGTTTACAATGATAGGACCTGTAACAATTTTGTGGGGCTTTACAATATACACAAATAGAACGATCAAAGTTAATTACCCAGACATCGTATTCAAAGACCACAAAAACAGAATGGGTTTTCTTATTGACATGGAAAATCCTGCAGATTGTAATGGATCTTTGAAGATCTTCAAAAAATTATTAAAAAATAAAAGGATCTTGGAATAGAAATCTCAAAAATGTGGCACATGAGGACATCAATAATTCCAGTTATAGTTGGAGTACTCAGATTGATTGGTAAAGGATACGATAGACTCATTGACGGAAACCCTGGTAGTACAAGCCTTAAAGAAATACAAAAAAATGTACTCAAAAGTACAGCTCACGCATTACGAAGAGATTTATCTATGTAAAATGTCTGTGATCTCAGGGATTTTTAGGGTATTACAAAAATGATCAGTGGAAAATATCATGAAGCCATTTCTGACATTGGGTCGGTGGTAGGGAGCCGGAAGGAAATGTGTATACAACAGAAATCAAACGAAATAATAATAATAATAATAATAATAATAATAATAATAATAATAATAATAATTCCTTTGATTTCTGACGTTTACACATTTCTTTCCGAGTCCCGCTCAGGGACATAAGGTTAGAAATGGCATCATGACACTTTCCACTGACAAAAAAAAAAAATTACATAGATAAAACCCTTCGTAAAATGTGGGCTGTACATGTCAGAACAATTTATTATTATTATTATTATTATTATTATTATTATTATTATTAATAATAATAATAAAATAATAACTAAAATAATAATTTAAATAATAATTTAACACAAACCTCCACCAATGTTAAAAGTTGAAAATATTGCTGTCTGACGTATCACTGTACATACCGACCCGAGTATAGAAGCCATCAGGACAGAAAGAATAATAATAATAAACTTCAAACATGTCTATCCTGTCTGTTAAAAGCATCTCAGCAAAAGAATTTGACAAACTTTTAAAATATAACGATATAAAAACAGAAATCACAAGAATGTTATTTAAACACAAACATTATTCCAATAATAATACGAATTATTAAAAAGAAGACTGATAGACTCTTTAAGAAAATCTCAGGACATCTTTATCAGTGATGCAAAAAATAAGCTTTGGCGAAGGATTGTTAAACTGCAAAGTATGAAAACTAATATTCTTATTATTATTATCGTCATTATTATTATTATTATTATTATTATTATTATACCGTATTTGATGGCATATAAGAACACCACGTTTTTTCCCCAAGACATAATTCAAAAATATTTCCTGTTCTTATACGCGACGTTTCCGTCAGGCTAATGTTTACTCAGGTAACGAAAACATACCAGTATTTTTACCGAAGCTAAAACTCCATAATTCTGTCATATTAAATGCAAACAGGATTTTTTTATATGCTATCAAATAGGTTAGTAATCATAATAATATAGTTGTATACATTGTTGTTGGAAAACTTAAAAAGATTCTAGAAATTTTAGGAAAAAGACTTGAAAAACAAGAAAACTGAAGAAGAATCAGTATAGACAGCCTGAAACCAAGTAGAGATATAAATTATTAAGAAGACTTGCTGTCACTTGATCTTCAATGTAATCCACCAGATATTTCTGGTGTGAATACAGAAATATTCGAGTTGTAAACGTAGACTATACTGAGACAGAAACAGTTAATCATCATAAGCGGAAGATGAGGTACAAAAGCAAACATGACTAGATGGGACCATCGAGCTATAATTGTGCAAGCTGCTGGAACTGCGCAAGCTGCTGGATGTGAATATTACGAGCATAATCCAGAGAATAAATAATATAAAAGTGTCTGGAATTGGATCACAAAATCAAGTCTAAAAATCCATAAATATTTGTTGGCGCACTTGGAACAATTCCCAAGAGACTTGAAAAAAGGTTGAAAGAACTGAAAATAAAGGGGAAGTATCAAAACCCTCTAAACGATAGCTTTACTAATAAGAGCAAGAATATAGAACGCGACTGAGGATTAAGGAGGATTTAGAGTCACTTAATCTGCAGTAAAAGTCATCAGATAATACTAGTGTAACAATTCATAAAGCAATAATAATAATTCTTTTACAATGATGTCCACACTGTACAACGCCGAAGAGCCACTCAAGATAGAGGGTTGCAGATCAAGTAAGGCGATAATACCACCAAAGGGCTACTGAGAGGGAAAGCCAATGAAAAGAATTTAGAAGGAACCGGAAACCCCATCCTAAACAGGAAACAAGTGATAAACCTCTACTCCTGTTCAAAAGACTGAGAAGTGTGATCGGACGATAGGCAAACATATCTACTCCTACTGAGAAAAATTAGTAAATAAAATTTCAGAGTTTAGTCGGAGACGTTAGAAGTATAGTTGAAGTAGGCTTTAGAAGGAACCGGAAACCCAATCCTAAAGAGAAAACAAGGGATAAAACTTCTAATCCTGTTCAAAAGATACATACACACACACAAGCATGCACACGCTTGTATATATAAGATAATATGAAAAAAGAGCTGAACGTCTTTCGTCCCTTGGTCTTTAGAGCTCGTTCGAGGGAACGAAATATAGAGAAATATATTCAATTATGATAAGATATACAAATATACAACTATATATATATATATATATATATATATATATATATATATATATATATATATATATACCAGGTGTAAAAGCAAAATTGTCCAAATCGTGTAACAGCAAAATTGTTCAATTGTTAGATTATTCTTTGAATCGTTGCACCTTAGAAATGATTAAAGATATCTTACTGGAATTCTCCGATATTTTTATAACTCTATAGGAATCTACTTTGAACAATAAGAATGTATAATTACTTTCAAGCTTAACAGAAGATGATATTGGTCATAAACAAAATGACATGTTCATCATTAATTAATCATAGCTAAGGATCGGCAGCTCACGAAGGAAAGAAATAAAGTTCAATATATATATATATATATATATATATATATATATATATATATATATATATATTACTTTAAAAGTATTAAAGTTAACATTACAAGGCATAATGGGGAATTAAAAATAAAAGGAGGGAAAAACAATTGTTTTCGCATCCGATTATTCATTCAGTTTCTTCATCGGGAGAATTTCAGGTAAAATATAATAAATATGAATTTGTCAACATTAGAAATCGGGGAAAATATTTGAACTACTAGAAACTGATCACAGCAAGGCCCGCTGAGTAGTTCTCCCTATGTAATTGACACCGCTGACACTAGTAATCGATCGATTTCATCTTCTAGCCGTAAGGATGTTCTCCCCACTCATCTAATAAGTTCTGTAGTTTATAAGTATGAATGTAACTGCGGTGTCAGTTACATAGAGAGAACGACTCAGCAGCTTGATACTAGGATTAAACAACATGTCACATTGAAAGTTAGGAACCATACCTTACAACAAAATGAACTCATCCGCCATATTTATTGTTCCTCAATTTACGAACACCTGTCTAGCAGAAAGTGCCTTGGAATTTAGTGTGGATTGATTTTCTGTTTCATTCACTTTTCCATTTGAAAGTTCATATTTCATAATTTTCATCATTGATTTTATTTTCATATTTATTTTTCATTTATTATATTTGACCTGAATTTTTCCAGATTAAGAAACTTTGATAAGCGGTGACGAAACAGATTGTTTTTCACTCATTTTATTTTTTATCCCTTGTAATGTTAAACTTAATACTTTTAAAGCATTACTCAAGTTTTGTCCACTAGAGCTATTATCTCCAACTATTCAAATGTAATGTCAATCGACATCTCC